AATGTATAGTCAATGAATACCGTGTCTAACGTAAAATGTATGGTCAATGAATACCGTGTCTAACGTGAAATGTATGGCCAATAAATGCTGATTCATTCCTGGATGGATACGTTTAATTTCATCATTATTATTCTGAAATAAACTACTATCTGTGAAAGTTTGCATTTCTGTTTTTAGTAATATCTAATAGCTTGTTTTTCATTAACAACATACTGTAGTACCTAATTATTACTGTCAGTGACTAATTGATAGTTAATGTGCGTATATAGTGAGTGTTCTAACGTAGATAGATAGCTAACTTGCTTTACGGCAACATTAAACATTTGGTTTTCTGAATCGGGAAGTACAAAGGAGCATTTTGAAAATAATCATTCGATATACAATATATAGACGGCGTTGTCATGCCACTTAACTTTCTTGTCCACCATTGTCGTCCAGCTTGCCAGCGTTTGCCGGCAGGTCAGCCGGGTAAGAGACGACGGCCCCCAAATGCGTGTACGTCATTAAAGCCAACAATTAACTTACTGCGGTGATTCGCAGTGACAGTTTTCTTCAGTTTTCAACAGTTCGTAAGAGATAATTATCTTTGAATCTGTAAAGACTTCATTACTCAATAGATTTCTTTTGAAATTGTGAATGTTCTTTTTGATTGTCTTTTTAGATTGTTGGAATAATTCCATTTTTCATTTATCTTTATTTGCTTAACAAGAAGCGAAAGTGTCAATCAATATTCATTTCTGTAATTTCACGGAGAATCCATTTGGAACTTACTGCATTCTTTGCTAATATGTTTAAACGTTGTCATCATGCATTGCTGAAAGACTGCTGTATAGATAAAGAGTTGAATAAATTTCAAGGTTACATCTAAAATTTTCCAAATATGGTGAGGAATTTAAGATGGGGAATCTTTTTAACAAATAAACCAACCCTATCTTAAACAAGGGAGTTAATTCAACGATTGATAAATTTGAAGTTGAAATTCCTAGATTAACCTCTCCATAGATCATTTTGGTTAGTTTAGTTGATTTTTACGGCCTGTCAACACTTGCTGGTTCCATTTATGTTGATATTTTTCATAGGACAGTCAATAAAGAACGTCATAATTAATCAGACTAGTGTCTCTAGCCTTTATTCAACAGGTACATTTATAAATAATACTCTCATGATGAACAATTTTGCAGTTAATGACTTTTTGCTGAGTGAAGCCTAGCATCGTTTTATTGAATTTTAATGCATTTGGGGATTACTCGTAACAGATCTAAATTCAGCTCTTTAGGTTTTCTTAGAATTTAACTATATAACAAAGCCATATCATACTTATCAATGTGTATTTGCTTATATATTTCTTGTCCCATCTGTAGTGGGTGGGGACGTAAATCAAATTATGAGTGATTAATCCTCTTAGTTGTTTTAATAACATTATGTAACAAATTTTGGCTCTGATTGTCTTTGATCAAGACCTATTATTTCCTAATTGCTTTTGTTGAGAATAGAAAGAAAATGATTATTATTCTCTTCAAACTTTGCTTCTTTGATCTGGACATCGATGTTTTGAAACTGACATATTTTTAATGACATTCCAGGCAAATTCAATGCTGAGTTGCGGAAAGAAAAAATTTAGAATTCTCTAGAAGCTTCAATAAGTCATCGAGAAAATTCTAAAAGTTTAAAGAATTTCTAGAACGTTATGGAAAGATAGATGACAGTATAAATACAGGGTACCTAAGCTCAACAGATTGGCTTAGTTCTAGCAGTTCAAGTTCAGACAAGTCGATGTTGATATAGACATTCGTCACAGATGGCATCGAGGGGTTGTAAGCATCCCGCAGGTGCATTTTGCAGAGTAAGGTCGGTGGCGACCTTACTCTGTAACAAGATCTGCTAAAATGTGTAAGACCTACAATGTATATTTCGATATTCCTGTCGGTGGCCAAGACAAATGCAGGACACCTCATTTCACCTGCGAAGTCTGCAAAAGAACTCTAGAAAGTAAGATGGAAAGTTTTGTTTGTTTGGATAATGGAATTTTTAAGTGTGAAAGTTTGAGAATTCAAAAAAAAAAGATCTACTCTTTTATTTTTTAGTGTTATTGAAAAATATGTATTAAATATATTTCAACAAACGTGCATTAGTGTCCACAGCATCATGGATTATTTCTATACTGGATCACTGGCAAGAGTCATAAAAATATGGAATATTAGAAATGTTTAGCATTCAAGATTCTGTATTTTTGTGGTATTTACTACATTAATTGGGATTCAAAGTAAGAATTTTATATATTCAGTGCACGATTTTTAGAAATTTACAAGAATCAAAAATGAAGATTTCAGAATTTTCAATAACACTGGGTGAAATATATTTGTATTTTTATACTCATACCTTTATTTTTATCTTTTGCAAGGCGGTGTAGAGGGGGGCAATAAAGTCATGAAGTTCGCAATCCCATGAGTTTGGAGGGAAAAACTGACCATTCCAGCAATTGCGTCTTCTACATGGTGGACCCTACCAGACGTCGAACTGGGACAAATACGCCTGCTGTCATCTATCTAGACACTCTGCCATCTATTGCCCCAGCGCCACACTGCCCTAAGCTTCCAGTACTGACTCCTTCAAAGAGAGAACAGAGGTCTTCAGAAGAGAACAGCAATTCAGAAGAATATTAAGTAATTAATTCAGATCATAGTGGCGAAGCTGAGGAGAGAAACCCATGCTGACCCAACCAAAAAGACCTCAACGACCTGATCAGAGATCTTGGTCTCACAAAGTCCAATGCCGAGCTTTTGACATCGAGCAATGGAATTTGTTAGATGAAAGTTGCAGGTCAGAGAAAGCGTCACCAATGTTTTTCAAGCTTAGTCAAGACAGTCAAGACAATCAAGGTAGGCTTTGCTTCTGCCATAATGAAATTGGAATCGGCTAGATCTCCCGCGTTAGGCGCCTCTTTATCGACGGCTCATCTTGAAGCCTCAAAGCCGTGGTGCCTCTAAACGGGAAAATATATCCATCTCTTCTCATGGTTCACACGGTGCAGCTCAAAGAAGTATACATTAGCACCAAGTTTCCTCCACTGAAATTAAAATTGGGCCTTAATGAACAATTTGTCAAGATCTAGATAAGTATGCAGCCTTCAAGACTTCTTCCTTAATCTGTCTACAGCAAAAGTCAAAGCCGGTGTCTTCGTCAGATCACAAATAAAGAAGATCATAGAGGGCAAGAATTCCCCAAGAAGCTAACAAACAAAGACGTAGAAAAGAGCGCAGAACTGCTTTGTCACAGTGGTTCGGGGTTTTTGGGGAATCACAAGGCTGAAAACAAAGTAGCCTGTTGAAACCCTGGTGAAGAACTATGGCAAAATGGGCTGCGGAATGTCCATCAGAGTTCATACCCTTGACGCTCATCTTGATAAATTCGAGAGGAAATTGAGGGCACACACAGAGGTACAAGGCTATCGCTTCCACCAGGATATACTGAAATTTGAAGGGCGCTGCCAAGGATCGTATAAGGGAAAAACGAAAGACTATATTTGGAGGCTAATACGTGAGAGTAATTTGTAATATAGGAGTAAATCACAAAAAACCAAACACCTCAATTTGTTGTGGTCCCTCTTGTGTAATCCTAGAATAAATAAATGCTACTTTTGAATCATATGCCGTTTTGTTTCTACTCTGCGTGAACGAGAATGTTCTTGTGTAATCCTAGAATAAATCAATGCTACTTTTGAATCATATGTCGTTTTGTTCTACTCTGCGTGACCGAGAATGTTCTTGTGTAATCCTAGAATAAATCAATGCTACTTTTGAATCATATGTCGTTTTGTTCTACTCTGCGTGACCGAGAATGTTCTTGTGTAATCCTAGAATAAATAAATACTACTTTTGAATCATATATCGTTTTGTTCCTACGCTGCGTGAACGAGAATGTTCTTGTGTAATCCTAGAATAAATAAATGCTATTTTTGAATCATATGCCGATTTGTTCCTACTATGCGTGAACGAAACTGTTCTTGTGTAATCCTAGAATAAATAAATACACCTTTTGAATCATATGCCGTTTTGTTCCAACTCTGGGAGTGTGACGTCGTCCCCCCTGGTCGCAGCGTCGACTGTGTCGTTCGATCCCGTTCGCGACGCCAGCTGTTCGCTCCTCGCTGCTCCAAGTGTGACGTTCTAACCCTTTGGCTAGATGAATACCAGCCTCGTCGTTCCCAACCCGCTTCCAACGCCTGGTTACCAGGGAAACTACACTGATCTCCGGTCTGTCTACCCACGTTGTGATTAGATCTTAGACAGACGGGATCAAACAGGGATTGGGCCGTATGCAAGCTGAGTCCAACGGGGGTGATAACATACAAGAAAAATAAAAACTCACAAGGTCAAAATATTGAAGAAAAAAGGTAACAACTTTTTATATCTATTTGCTCGTTACACAAGATTATTCCTACCTCCCCGACCCGTTCTGTGGACCGTGGCACCAAACTTCTACCATACAACTTTAAGGCTTCGAGTTGCCTGCTCTCTAGAAATTTGCATTTCGGGGTGTGGTTTGGTTTCGACACTGGGCGCAGATCTCTACCTGTCGTTCACGGCTGATCTCTCTCGCCGTCCGTGGCTGCAACTAACTCTCTCTTCAGAGTCTGAATTATTGTTCACTCATCTCCGCCGTCAGTGCGCGAATTAACTTCTTCTCTTCGGCTTCGGTTGGACGAGCTTATTCACTTCGGCTTGGGTTGGACGAACTTCTCTTCTTAGGCCAAACGGACCGGCCTTTCTTGCCCGCAAGGGGGCGAATGAACCGGGCCCGCCGTCCGAGCTCAACCTCCCTCTCCGTCCGCGGCGCAAACTGCAACTAATTTCTGTCGGTTGGGGTCCCGCTTTTATTGAGGCAGTCAAAAACTGGGGTGGGCCTGTCGGCGCCAGGGTTTTCTTGATAATCCTAAATACGTATCCACCCTTCTTATTTCTGATTAGGGATTTTCCATACCCGCTTCCCCGCTCCTTCGTATGTCATGTGACCGCTCTCGGCCAATGGGTCCTAGTCGGGCATCTTTCCTCCTCCCTCGCACGTCACGTGACCGCCCTCGGCCAATGAGGCTCTGGTCGGGTGTCTTTCCTCCTCCTTCATGTATCAGGTGACCGCCTTCGGCCAATGAGGCTCTGGTCGGTATCTTTCCTCCTTCTTTCGTGACGTCTTTAATCGGGCGTGGACAATCCGTGGCTTTGTTCTGGGGGGGGACACCTTGCTTAAAAAAAACAAAAACTGAAACTGCCCTTTTTCGTACGTGACCGAAATGACGCTCTCGGTTTCTTTTACACGCGGTATCTGTCAAACAGTTGATCGCTAATTGGATACGATCTAAGAAAGGGATTTCCCAGACTGGGTGGCGTTCTCGCGAGCTAATAAAAATATTTCACTTTTTTCTTTCGCTCAGAGCTTGTTAACAAAAATCTTAATTATCTCAAAAAGCATTTCTACATCACCTTGTGTGGCTATATTTTCAATTCTGGGATTGTCTGCCTGCATATCCTTAGATAACCTTCCCCATCCCCTTAGACTTTTACTATCATCTCAATGACACCCTTTTCATTTGTTACTTATCAATATTTTTTTCATTGTCCCTAAAATTCGTTTCTCCAACCAATTGATAACAACTTCCACCTTACGCGGATTTCGGTCAGGTACTTTGACCAGGATACCTTCCAACATCTGTTATGTATCAATCGTGCGTGTGTGTCCTCGACTTATGACCTGGTTTACGTATTATATTTTTCTTTTTTTTCTTTCCTCTTCCTCTTCTTTTCTTTCTTTCTCCCAGATCGCTTGAACGCAATTAAAGAATTATTCTCAAAACCCAAATATTTTTCAGCTCTAAATAATTATCAAATGGTTAACAAACCGAAAAAACAAATCATATATTTATGAATATCACTTTCCAGTTTTCTAATTATGCATGGTGCCACAGAGAACGAGAATGTTCTTGTGTAATCCTGGAATAAATAAATTCTACTTTTGAATCATATATCGTTTTGATCCTACTCTGCGTGACCGAGAATGTTCTTTTGTAATCCTAGAATAAATAAATACTACTTTTGAATCATATGTCGTTTTGTTCCTACTCTGCGTGACCGAGAATGTTCTTGTGTAATCCTGGAATAAATAAATGCTACTTTAGAATCATATATCGTTTTGTTCCTACTCTGCGTGACTGAGAATGTTCTTGTGTAATCCTAGAATAAATAAATAAATAAATACTACTTTTGAATCATATGTCGTTTTGTTCCTACTCTGCGTGACCGAGAATGTTCTTGTGTAATCCTAGAATAAATAAATACTACTTTTGAATTATATGCCGGTTTGTTCCTACTCTCGGAGAAAGAGAATGTTCTCGTGTAAACCTGGAATAAATATATGCTACTTTTGAATCATATGTCGTTTTGTTCCTACTCTGCGTGAACGAGAATGTTCTTGTGTAATCCTAAAATAAATAAATCCTACTTTTGAATCATATGCCGTTTTGTTCCAACTCTGGGAGGACGAGAATGTTCTTGTGTAATCCTAGAATAAATAAATACTAACTTTGAATCATATATCATTTTGTTTCCACTCTGTGTGAACGAGAATGTTCTTGTTTAATCCTAGAATAAATAAAAGATATTTTTGAATCATATGCCGATTTGTTCCTACTCTGGGAGAAAGAGAATGTTCTTGTGTAATGCTGGAATAAATAAATGCTACTTTTGAATCAGGTGTCGTTTTGTTCCTACTCTGCGTGAACGGGAATGTTCTTGTGTAATCCTAGAATAAATAAATACTACTTTTGAATCATATATCGTTTTGCCCCAACAAATTATGGAATAAATAAATGCTACTTTAGAAACATATATCGTTTGGTTACTACTCTGGGTGACCGAGAATGTTCTTGTGTAATCCTAGAATAAATAAATAAATAAATACTACTTTTGAATCATATGTCGTTTTGTTCCTACTCTGCGTGACCAAGAATGTTCTTGTGTAATCCTAAAATAAATAAATACTACTTTTGAATTATATGCCGGTTTGTTCCTACTCTCGGAGAAAGAGAATGTTCTCGTGTAAACCTGGAATAAATATATGCAACTTTTGGATCATATATTGTTTTGTTCCTACGCTGCGTGACCGGGAATGTTCCTGTGTAATCCTAGAATAAATAAATACTACTTTTGAATCATATGTCGTTTTGTTCCTACTCTTGGTGAACGAAAATGATCTTGTGTAATCCTGGAATAAATAAATACTACTTTTGAATCATATGCCGTTTTGTTCCTACTCTGGGTGAACGAGAATGTTCTTGTGTAATCCTAGAATAAATAAATGATACTTTTGAATCATATATCGTTTTGTTCCTACTCTGCGTGACCGAGAATATTCCAGTGTAATGCTAGAATAAATAAATACTACTTTTGAATCATATGTCGTTTTGTTGCTACTCTGCGTGACGGAGATTATTCTTGTGTAATCCGAGAATAAATAAATACTACTTTTGAATCATATGCCGTTTTGTTACTACTCTGGGAGAACGAGAATTTTCTTGTTTAATCCTAGAATAAATAAATAATACTTTTGAATCGTATGCCGTTTTGTTCTTACTCTGCCTGACCGAGAATGTTCTTGTGTAATCCTAGAATAAATAAATGCTACTTTTGAATCATATGTCGTTTTGTTCCTACTCTGGGAGAACGAGAATTTTCTTGTGTAATCCTAGAATAAATAAATACTACTTTTGAATCATATATCGTTTTGTTCCTACTCTGCATGACCGAGAATGTTCTTGTGTAATCCTAGAATAAATAAATACTACTTTTGAATCATATGTCGTTTTGTTCCTACTCTGCGTGACCGAGAATATTCTTCTGTAATCCTAGAATAAATAAACACTACTTTTAAATCATATATAGTTTTGTTCATACTCTGGGTGAACGAGAATGTTCTTGTGTAATCCTGGAATAAATAAATGCTACTTTTGAATCATATATCGTTTTGTTCCTTCTCTGCTTGACCGAGAATGTTCCTATGTAATCCTAGAATAAATAAATACTACTTTTGAATCATATGTCGTTTTCTTCCTACTCTGGGTGAACGAGAATGTTCTTGTGTAATCCTAGAATAAATAAATGATACTTTTGAATCATATATCGTTTTGTTCCTACTTTGCGTGACCGAGAATATTCCTGTGTAATGCTAGAATAAATAAATACTACTTTTGAATCATATGTCGTTTTGTTGCTACTCTGCGTGACGGAGATTATTCTAGTGTAATCCGAGAATAAATAAATACTACTTTTGAATCATATGCCGTTTTGTTACTACTCTGGGAGAACGAGAATTTTCTTGTTTAATCCTAGAATAAATTAATAATACTTTTGAATCGTATGCCGTTTTGTTCTTACTCTGCCTGACCGAGAATGTTTTTGTGTAATCCTAGAATAAATAAATGCTACTTTTGAATCATATGTCGTTTTGTTCCTACTCTGGGAGAACGAGAATTTTCTTGTGTAATCCTAGAATAAATAAATACTACTTTTGAATCATATATCGTTTTGTTCCTACTCTGCATGACCGAGAATGTTCTTGTGTAATCCTAGAATAAATAAATACTACTTTGGAATCATATGTCGTTTTGTTCCTACTCTGCGTGACCGAGAATATTCTTCTGTAATCCTAGAATAAATAAACACTACTTTTAAATCATATATCGTTTTGTTCATACTCTGGGTGAACGAGAATGTTCTTGTGTAATCCTGGAATAAATAAATGCTACTTTTGAATCATATATCGTTTTGTTCCTTCTCTGCGTGACCGAGAATATTCCTATGTAATCCTAGAATAAATAAATACTACTTTTGAATCATATGCCGTTTTGTTCCTACTCTGCGTGACCGAGAATGTTCTTGTGTAATCCTAGAATAAATAAATAATACTTTTGAATCATATGTCGTTTTGTTCCTACTCTGCGTGACCGAGAATATTCTTGTGTAATCCTAGAATAAATAAATACTACTTTTAAATCATATATCGTTTTGTTCATACTCTGGGTGAACGAGAATGTTCTTGTGTAATCCTGGAATAAATAAATACTACTTTTGAATCATATATCGTTCTGTTCCTAGTCTGCGTGAACGAGAATTTTCTTGTGTAATCCTAGAATAAATAAATACTTTTTTTTAATCATATGCCGTTTTGTTCCTACTCTGCGTGACCGAGAATTTTCTTGTGTAATCCTAGAATAAATAAATACTACTTTTGAATCATATGTCGTTTTTTTCCTACTTTGCGTGACCGAGAATATTCTTTTGTAATCCTAGAATAAATAAATACTGCTTTTGAATCATATGTCACTTTGTTCCTACGCTGCGTGACCGAGAATATTCTTGTGTAAGCCTAGAATAAATAAATACTCCTTTTAAATCATATATCGTTTTGTTTCTACTCTGGGTGAATGAGAATGTTCTTGTGTAATCCTGGAATAAATAAATGATACTTTTGAAATTATATCGTTTTGTTCTACTCTGCGTGAACGAGAATTTTTTGTGTAATCATAGAATAAATAAATACTACTTTTGAATCATATGTCGTTTTGTTCCTACTCTGCGTGACCGAGAATATTCTTCTGTACTCCTAGAATAAATAAATACTACTTTTGAATCATATATCGCTTTGTTCCTACTCTGGGAGGAGGAGAATGTTCTTGCGTCATCCTGGAATAAATAAATACTCCTTTTGAATCATATGCGTTTTGTTCCAACTCTTGGAGAACGAGAATATTCTCAAGTAATCCTGGAATAAATAAATGCTACTTTTAATCATATATCGTTTTGTTCCTACTCTGCGTGACCGAGAATGTTCCTATGTGATCCTAGAATAAATAAATAAATCCTACTTTTGAATCATATATCGTTTTGTTCCTACTCTGCGTGAACGAGAATGTTCTTGTGTAATCCTAGAATGAATAAATGCTACTTTTGAATCATATATCGTTTTGTTCCTATTCTGCGTTTCAGAGAATATTCTTGTGTACTCCTAGAATAAATAAATACTACTTTTGAATCATATATCGCTTTGTTCCTACTCTGGGAGAACGAGAATATTCATGTG